AAAAAAAAAAAAAAAAAAAACTCAATGTAATCCCACAAGTGATGTTTGGGGCATGTTTAAGACCATAAGTTCAAAAAAAAATATTTTTTCCTAAAATTCGTGAAGAGTTAAACTATCTCGCATAAATTCAGTACCTTAAAATATCACGGGAAGTCAATCCTCTTATACTCATCAAAAATCAGCTTAAGCCACCAAATTACACGAAGTCAATGATCCAAACAGGTAAAATAAGACAGCAAAAGTTACTGAATCAAGCTATTAATGCTAATGTAAGGGTTTATTTAAGTTAAGAATGAAAATTTCAGACTGAGGATCCAATTAGTGGAATACTAACATACGAAAAAATGGAACAAATAGTAAAGAAACTCGGCAATGGAAATGGGAGATCACCAGAGAAAAGGATCCAAGTAAATTCCCACAAAGAAAGCTGACACCCGGATCAAAGATTGTGCGTAATTGTGAAACAGATTCCAATGAAGAATATGGATAATTTGAGAATTGCGTGGATTGCCTAGAAATGGATTGTAACGATGTCGTAAAGGTTCACCTACTAGACATGTGGGACACAATGCAAATAGGTGAAATAGTACGGGCTAGCCAGTTTTCGGATTGGTAATTAAAAAATAGTTAACGTTTGCAAAGTCATTAAAAAATAGTCATTATTTTGCTGTAACACGGAAGTTTCAGCATAATATACAGGAGATTGGTGCATCTATGTATGAACTTCCACCATATTATGTTGGAACTCCAACACACGGAAAGTTCCAGCATAATATACCGGAGATTTGAACACATGTGTATGAATTTCCAGTATATTATGCTGGACCAGTTTATTATGCTGGAATTCCAGTATATTATGCTGGAAGTCTAGTATATTATACTAGAACTCCAGTATATTATGCTGGAATATTTTTCGGATTTTGAACAATGTTTTCGTTCAGATTTATCTTTACATGAAAAGTGGCTAAATCTTGATTATTTTTAAAACTGTGGCTATTTTTCAATTACCACTTGTAAATTTGACTATTTTTAAATTTCTCCCATACAAATATTATGTATGGGCCGATCAATAAAGAAACATTTATTATACATGGATTACTTATTTTAAAAGGATAGTTTTGTCTTTAAATAGCTTAATTCATAAGTTTCTAATACTCATCTTTTTCTATATATTATCCAAATAAAAACTACATAAATTCTCGCATGTATAATGCAGATATTATTTTATATCGTAAACCAAACACTGCATGAGTTATTTAACGATTATTTTGTTTAAGCAGCCAACCACATATTGCAATATCTTATACGAAAATTTATGCAGAAATTAATTACTCTAATACAACAACCAAACGTCCCTTAAGGGTTTTCCTATTGCCTAAGTCTTGACATCATGACGTGTTTGTGGAAAGGTATACCTACCGGACGACGACAACTATTATAAGATGAGTAGTAACACAAAATTCACTATCGTTTTCTCTAATTACAGAAACACTGCAATCTTTTTCTTTTTTTTGGTAAAAAAAACACTCTAAAAAACTGATACAGTTCTGATACAATATTGTATTATACTTGTATCATTAGTATATCATGTATTGTTTCACATATTGATACATCATATACAATAATTCTGATACAAATTTGATACAATCCTGAAAGAATTCTGACATAATTCTGATACAATTATGATACAACTTAAAGTTAACTCTAAACTTAAACTGATACCTATTGTATTATACTTGTATTAGTATTGTATCATGTATTGTTTTAGGTATTGATACATCAGCTACAAGTTTGATACAATTATGATAGCTTCGTGACACAAATCAAAAAAATTGTGATACATCTCCGATCTTTATCTTCTTCAAGTTTCAATCTGAAATTTTCTCCTAAAACCAACTCTAAACTTAAATTATAATACAATACTACTCCCTCTGTTCCAATTTATGTGAACCTGTTTGATTGGACACGGAATTTAAGAAAAAATAAGACTTTTGAAATTTGCGGTTCTAAACAAGTCAAAAAGGGGTCCAGAGTATTTTTGTGGTTATAAAAGCTTCTCATTAAGGGTAGAATTGGAAGTTTAAGCTAAATTATTTTTAAATTTAGAAAGGGGTCATCCTTTTTGGAACGGACCAAAAAAAAATAGGTTCACATAAACCGCAACGAAAGGAGTATATTATAGTTATATTAGTATTATATCATGTATTATTTTAGGTATTGATGTATTAGATACAATTCATATGCAAAGCTGATACAATTATTATACAATCGTGATACAATTCTGAACCGTATTCTTCTTTGAGTTTCAATCTACAATCGTGATGTGTTCTTCTTGTGTAAATACGTACACCTAAGTCAAAACTAGGTGTGTTAACCACAACTTTTTCAGTATATTTTCGGGGAGATCTTCGAACTGTTACCTATTGGTGTATTACCAACGTATTATTCGCTATGTTTTCTCTAAGATTCATGATTTGGTTTCTTACCCCTTGTTAATTCAAACAAGGTCGAAGCCAAAAAAACCATTGCAACTCCACAATATTAAAGAGATATTGTTTAAATAGATAGATAACATGAAGAAGAGAAAATATAGAGAAATTGGTACAGAGCCATTGTTAATGTAGAAGAAAGCTTGAAAATTAGAAAAATTAAAGAAAGAAAACTAGATTCAAAACTTACCCACAACTTGATTCTACAGCAATATAGCGAATTTCGTCGGTATTGTATCAAAAAGAAAGAGAGATTTTGGGTGATTAGTAAGAAGGAGGGAGATTGTGTTTGAAATTCGTTGGAAAAGGAAAAGAATCGGAAATGTAAGGGGGTTATTGAAAATGGGGATAGGTATCTTGCATAGTAACAGATAATGATTAAATTTAAGGGATCTTCAATTTTTTTTTTATTTTTTTTTTTATGATTTTGTACATAAATTGTAAATATAGATATACAATGTAATTAAGAAGGAACCTAAATAAATGTGATAAATATGTTTCTATTATAGTATAGCTAAGTAAATTTTCCTTCTAAAAAAGCAGTTGTATCATAACAAAAAACAGGCGATTAGGACCATAACTACGAACATGCGCAACAGTTTTGGAAATTTTAACTTGATTAAGAGCCGCTTTGGATTGGGTTAAAATTATCACGACCCGAAATTTTTACCTTCGGGATCGTGATGGCGCCTAACATTTCACTTGTTAGGCATGCCAACGTTAGAATATAATTATCCATTTTAATTTATTTAATAACAAAAAAACAAATACGAAAATAAAATCTGGAATAAAGAGAATAATCCATAATAATCGCGATATCTAAATACCATCCAGAACTGGAGTCACGAGTGCACAAGCTTCTAGAATAATACAAACAAGGGTTTGAACGAAATAAAGCTGTCCGAAAGAAAGCACACAGCTAAAATACAGTAGAAGGGGACTTCAGAGCTACGAACGTCGTGCAGCTATACCTCAAGTCTCCACTGGTAGCTGAATCCGAGCAAGTCTATGATACGTCGCTGGGACCAACTCCGAAATCTGCACAAAAAGTGCAGAGTGTAGTATCAGTACAATCGACCCCATGTACTGATAAGTGCCGAGCCTAACCTCGACGAAGTAATTACGAGGCTAAGGCAGGTCACATACATTAACCTGTATGCAATAACAATAATAACAACAATAATAGAAATAAAACAAGTATCTCTTTTCAACAGTTGAAACCAACTCGGCAGTCATAACCAATTATTATTTCAATCAGTTTTCGTTGCGGCGTGCAACCCGATCCCACAACATATTCATAGTCAATTTTGTTGCGGCATGCAACCCGATCCCAATATATCTTTTCAATCAATTCTGTTGCGGCGTGCAACCCGCTCCTCCAATATATTCATTTCCATCAATTCTGTTGCGGCGTGCAACCCGCTCCTCCAATATATTCACTTTCATTTCTGTTGCGGCATGCAACTCGCTCCTCCAATATATCCATTGCCAATTCTTATAAAAGGAATTACTCCAATAAATGCAACAATTAATATAAAATTATAATACAACAAGCATATAATAATTATAATTTAATTATGAACAAACAATGACAAGTAACAATTAATTGTAAAAATTACGTACGGCAGGCCCTTCTTCAAGAGTGCCCTTTCCCCAGCCTCCAATCGTCTCAGAAGAGAAGACTAAGCTCAGACGAATTGCAGTCCGCCCCGGCCCCTCCTTAGTGACTTTGGTCAGGAAAGGGAATAGGGCAATAAATAGAGCTTCGGCTCAGAATTAGACCTTCTGTAGACGGAACTTCAGACTTCTGGATAGGCCTGAGAAAGCCTAGACCAAAGGTGCCTAATAGCCTAGCCAGACTCATCGGGTAGGGAATCCCATCCTCAGCGAAGCCAGTAAGCAAGCCCAAGTCCATGCAAGAAGGCACACTGGATCTATCCAAATTCAAAGCCCATCAAAGACTTGTGAACCTTCGGGTACTGTTTTATTCAATGTTTGTTCAATTACTCTTTTAGCCCATTCTTCATCTACGCAAAGATGAATTACTGCTTATTCGACCGGTCCTACCCCGGCTTATTAGGATAGGACCTTCTCTTATCCCGGATGACTTGAGCTTGTCTTGGCTCTCTTCTTTGACAAATAGGACTTTGCTTAGATGGTTTGGCACGCTTAGCTTTCGATCGAGAAAGACGGGAATTTGTGAAAGCGGGCTTATTGCTTAAAAGCCTTTTCGTTGTCACCACTTACCTAGATCGATATGGCTAGTTTTCTAGCGAGATTTCTAGCTTGAATTAAGGCTTCGAAGCTCTAAAAACCAATATATGAACAAGAGAGCAGACGGGGTAATAAAAAGTCAATCAATCGAATAGCTAGTCCTTCCTTTCTTTCTCCTTCCCCATTTCAGGTTTTAGAAGAGTTAGTTTCGCGCAGGGCACCTTTACTAATTTTCCCCTTTCTTTTATGGCTTGCTGGCTAATCCTGGCTGGATTAGCTAGCTTCAAGGCGCTTATTTGAAACAAAGTACAGAGAGAATTTAAGGTT